GAGCAGGGAGCCCGATGCGGGACTCGATCCAGGGACTCCAGGATCATGACCTGAGCCGAAGGCAGTCGCTTAACCAACTGAGCCACCCAGGCGCCCCTGGAACTTTCTTTACTGGTGAACCTTCTTTTCGTGATGGGAGCAACTTCTGTTAATTAACTTCCTCTCTGCTCCAAGAACAAGAAGGCTGTTGCTAACTGCTTTGCAGGTCAGCCGTGTACAACGAGAAGAGACTTGGAAATGTTCTCAGTCGGTCCCCATGGGGGCTCAGGGCTGCAGCGAGTCCAGCATTACACAGAGGGGAGGGAAAGACTCGCGGACTGAGGGCTAGAAACTACGGGGACCCTGCACCCGCACAGATCATTCTGGCTTCCTGGGCCCACAACGGATTTCCATCCCTAGTCTGCAAAGGATGAAACACCCGCCCACTTGCTCTCATAATTTGGGGAGCTCCCTGCTTCCTATCAAGGCCATTGTGTTCCAGCCGAGACTTCCTGGTCAACACAAAGGAAAGCTCCAGCCCTCTGCTCATCCCCTTCTTTTTTCCAATGTCCACCAACCCTACTGCCCTGGCTTTTGCCCCTCAAGTTGTTTTTGTTGTTGGACAAAAATTGGACAAATCTCTTTAAGAAGGAGTCGTGCAGCCTGTCGGAAGAAAGGCTGGGAGTCCAGTTCCAAGGACTCTGATTGCTGGTGCTGTGCTCTGCGTCACGACATTGTTCTTGCCATAATGGCTTGCCTGAAAGTGAAGGAAGCCCGCGTGCTCGGAAACTGTTCAAATCCAGGATCCTGGGGTAGGAATGTGCCCTAATTCAGCAGCACAGAGCTCAGGAAGACTCCAGGGTGAACTTGTATCAGGCCAATTAAGATAGCTATGAGAAAACTGACTCATAACCTCTAGAGACACAGACTCAGGCTCTTCTGGAATCTCACAGAATGTTCTCCCACCAGACTGCTTTAGTTAGCACTTTTGAAACAGACATCCTACTTTAAAACTAAAGGGCTGGATTCCTCCAGAAATTTTCAGACATAAACAGAAGCCAAAGGCTAGGCCAAACTTGTACGTCCTGCATAATTCATCAAGCTTGGCAATGAAATGCCTTCCCCGCAACGCTGTGTGTACAGTACGAGACAGACCGCTCATCGCCCCTTCAAACCACTACACCAGGGATAAAGTTTGCTAATGCAACAAGGTTCTCGACTACAGCTGCCCAGCTTCATTGCAAAGTTCAAAGAACGAAATCATGCACGTGTATGAGGATTTGAGAAACCACTATCAATACGATGTTGTGAGCACAAGCCCCCCACCTAGAAGTTGGGTTTGACTGGGAATTACATGAAATGCTACCACATGCCAAGCACCTGGCTGAGCTTGAGAATATAAAGGCAACATGGGCCCCGTTCACATCTAGGAGAGAAAAACAAATGTGTAAACACCTAAGTCAAATAAGGTATCACCAAATCTAGCCCAGACATCCTCCCTGGAGGGCAGGCATGCTTCAGTTCTTGTCTTTAGCAAGAGATTAGGGACTTGCCAGGCACTGCAAGCAGCCAGCATGGGAAAGGCGGCTGGACGCAGGAAGGCCTGGGAGAGAAATGTAAGCAGGTCCATGTGGCGGCAAAATCAGGGGTAGGCAGGAAGCCAATTACAAAGGGCACTGTGGGGCGCCTGGGTGGCTCAGTTGGTTAAGCGACTGCCTTCGGCTCAGGTCATGATCCTGGAGTCCCGGGATCGAGTCCCACATCGGGCTCCCTGCTCGGCGGGGAGTCTGCTTCTCCCTCTGACCCTCCCCCCTCTCATGTACTCGCTCTCACTCATTCTCTCTCTCTCAAATAAATAAAATCTTTAAAAAAAAACAAACAAAAAACAAAGGGCACTGTGCGCTGCTAGCAGGTTCAGGGGTTACCTCTGGAGACATGAGGAGCCTTTTCGAGATTTTTTTCCAAGATTTCAAATCAGGGGGTTTGATCAGATTTACATTCTAGAAAGATGACCCTCTGCTCAAAGTAGAGGGAGGGCTCTATTAAGAGTGAAGGTTAAGAGGTCACAGCGACAATGCAGGCGAACACCCCTGGAGGCCGTAACTGAGGTCAGGGCCACGGGATAAAAGAGGGGTAAGGGGAGCAGAAATATGAAAAGAGATAAAACCTATAGACGGTGCTGACGGACTTGAGAAAAGAGAGCAGAGAGCGGAGGAGTAAGCCAGACTCTGGGCTTGGGTGGCTGGAGAAATGGCAGCCAGGAACAAGGGGCCGGCACTGATCAGGCAACAGTCCCAGTCCTCAGCTGGAATGTGCCAGCAAAGCCACTCGAGTGGATGGGTCTGTCATCCAGAGGAACAGCAGAGAGAGCAGCGAGACCTTGAGGGGCAGATGTGCGGGGGCAGGGGAGAGGCAGGAGAGAACCATGCAGAGGGGCGGGCAGAGATCAGGAGAACCAGAGAGACGGTCACACAGGAAGGAAGAGCTTTCAAAAGGAGTGGTGAAGATTGTCCAACGCTGGGGAGAGGTTAGGTAAGATAAGAACACATGAGTACCACGGATTTAGCAACGCAGAAGGGAGGGTAACCTTGGTCGGACAGTCTGGAGAAGGATGGGGAGGCCTGTGGAGCAGACACTTCCTCTGCAAAGCTCCACTGTGATGAGAGAGAGCAGAGACAAACCCACAGGGGTGCAGAATCCAGGAGAGATTTAGTGTCTGTTTCTTAAAGATGGGAAAAACCCAAGCACGTTTCCGGACTACGGGGAAGGAGCAAGAGAAAAGACGTGAAAAACAAGGAGGAAAGGGAGTATCTGGCAGAAGAAGGGGCCTGGCAGTGACAGGACTGGCACAGAGAGTCTTTACAAGAATGAGAAATGGCGATAATTAGGAAGTGTATTTTTTAAAGCTTCTAGAACATTCTCTCAACATATAAATATGTCCTTTGATAGCCATTAGCCTTGGCTCTCACACACTGACTCCGAGACCTCCGCGATGCACTGCACCACCACAAGGGCCGTGAACGCTGATCCAGCCCCTAGATGACCATGACACTGAACGTGAATGAGCACCTGCAAAGGTGTCCACGAGGCTGCAGGCGAAGGCCGAGCACTCACCTTGCATCATACTCCTGTAGGCGGTGTCTGTGATGGCATAGATGTGGGGGGGCATCTCATGCCTCTTCTTGCCCTTGTACATTTCCACAATCTCTTCGGAGTAGATGGGCAGGTTCTTATAAGGATTGATGACCACACAGAACAGGCCTGAATAGGTCTAAAGAAAAGAGCAGCAAACAGAAACAGGTTAGGAAGTCTTGAGTCTCAGCGGTGTGCAAACTTCGTGGCAAAGTGTCTGTGCCAAGGACCCGGAGTCGGGCTGACGTGAAAGCCCCGCCCCTGCAGCCCCCCGCTCCCTGCTTCCCCGTCTGCTACAGGTGGAGGGGCACCACCCCCAGCTCTGCTCCTTTGGTGAGGGTCCTCCCTCAACTGCGTGACTGCTGCCAGCTTTGCGTGCCAACAAGCAGGCGCCTCGGGCAAGACCCATAGCAGGCCTCGCAGACAGCAGAAGTCCAGTTACAAAACTCCGATCCAAGGACAATTAGAAATGTGTCTGTCATCGTGAGATGCACAAAGAGAAAAGGATTTGGCTGCAGCAAGCAAACTGAGCGGAAACACAAAGTATTCTACCCTGAAGGACTCTCATAGAGATATTCCAGCCTCAACTTTTCCAGGACTGGGAAAAACTCCTGGCACTCCCCACCCAACCAGATCTTTTGTGGGCTAGTATATCACTGACAGCTCTCTCCCTCAAATCTTCTAGAGACATTCACATGACAATCCCTCAATAACTTAAACCCTGTGACAGGTGTTCAGTTGGGGGGGTACAGCTGTGTTTAAGCCTCTGGAGCAACCCTAACACCCTCTTCCAAGGACAATACGCCACAGGCCCTGAAGCAGCCATGATTCACACACACCTGCAGCCAGCTGGTGTCATGACAGCTGAAGGTCATAAGGCATCTTCCTGGTCCGGGGCCAGTTCTCTGAACTCTTGTCTTTTTGTTTTCATCATCACGTTACCTCACCGCCCATGGTGGCGCCCCTCATTCCAACAGCAGCCGGCACCTAAGGGGCGCTGCGCACCGTGCCGGCCCCGCCCCTTCCAGGCCCCGCCCCTCTCCGGCCCCGCCCCAGCTGAAGACGGATCTAGTGGCTGAACCTAAAGGCGGGTTCCAGGCGGGGACCAGTCGGGAGGTCAAAGGCCCTTCCCAGCCATGGCCAACAGCTATGGCACTTGGACTTCCCAAGCTGAACTTAAAGACTAAAAGCAGAACTTGGGAGGGGCCCAGTAACTTCCAGGGGCCTGGCTGGAAAGAGCCGCCAAGTTTTGGAAATGACCAAGTGTGTTTGGCCGCCTCTTCTGCTGGGAGGCAGGGACTCGGGGCCCTCGAGTTTCTTTCTAACCGGGATAATCAGCCATTTGTTTTCCCTCCAACTCCTCTTTCACAAGGGACCAGGAAAGCTCTGAAGCAAAGAGGTGGGACGCGGTGTTGGCCACCTGCAGTGCGGGTATCACAGGGAGATGAGAGAAAAGCGGGAGACTTCTGGTTTTCCCTCCGTGGGACTGCCGGGATGAAGTAGAAGGCCAGGGAGCAGTGAGGTCATCCCAGGAGCTCAGAAACAATTGAGCTCTGTTCCTGGGGTTTGAGAAAACCCACACTCTAGGAAATCAGCCCGATGAAAGCCAAGGACACATGGCCACACTTTTAGGGCATGCCTCAGGGCCAGATGTTTGCAAACAGCTGGTCGTGAGAGCAGAAGGGGACTGGGGGCTCCTAGGGCAAGGCTTTCTGACAGTTGGGTGAGCAGACGGTCCTGTGGATGGTTCTCTCTATAGAGCTTCAGAGTTCTCTGAGCTAATCCCATCCAACCAGCAGGTGTGAGCCCTGCAGCTCAGGTGGGAGGATGCACACCTGCCCTCGAGCCTCCCTCTGGATGCTCGTGGACGTGCAGACACAGAGCAAGTGGCTCTGCTCCCCCCATGGCCACGCCAGGGAGCTGCTCCATTCATGGGCCACAGAGGCTCTTTGTGCCCAGCCGCCCCCTATCCCAAGGCCTCACCCCCCGGGGAACAGACAGAGCAGCTGTGGCTCAGGATTAGCCACACCGCCCACAACACCAGGCAAACACACTGCACAAAGGCTCCTGGGTCGCAATTTGGAACGTCGTGTGCAGAGAGAGGTGGACCGTGAATGAGGCAGCAACCCCTGCCCAGTGGCTTTGCTCCCCGCTCCCCCCCTCCACAGCTCTGCACCTGCTGGGGTCCCCATTAGGGCAATTGCAGAGACAATTGACTTCCCTTCTGGGGAAGATACTTAGGAAGGAGGCTAGTCTGAGGCAGGAGGAACTGCACACGGGAGGTGACAGAAACAGGAATGAATGCCTCCAACCAAAGAGTTCTGCCTGCCTCCAGAGTAAAACCCACGCTTTCAGAGGAAAGATGAAGCCACTAACATTGAACGCACTTCACTAACATTTCCCCCTGTGGGAGAGCAGACTGCAGCCAGCTGATACAGGCCACTGCAGGCCCCCCAGCGTGTGTCACACTCAGCAAATCCCTAGCTGGACACAAGCTGAACAGAGACACCAGAGAAGGCCACGCAGAGGACCAGCTACCTTCACTAAGAACATCAACAGCTACGGAGCCCAGCCCTGCCGTGAAGCAGATGTGGGCTGGTGCTTGCACACGTCTCACCTGGGAGGAAGTGAGGCTCCTTGTGGCCTCGTCGTGTGGCCGGGAAAGGATCTGAACCAGGTCCTGGAGGCTCCACCTCCCATGCCCTTCACCGCTCTGCCTCTGTGAGCAGAGCCCATGTCGGCTCCAGGGCACAGCAGGGTGGGTACAATGAGCTATGGACCCTGCCGAGGGGGTGTCCCACTCCCAGACAATGGGACTCGGCTTCCAGCTGCCCCAACAGACAAACAATGCTTCCTTCCAGGCCCCCTGCTTTCCTGCAAGTCGCCAAATTCTGAATTTCAGTGGTCAAGATCTCTAGGGACAGAGGCTTTTAATTTTGTCCAAACAGTGCTCTCACCAAGAAAGAGAGAGCCAGGCTGAGGGTCAAGAAACCCGAGCTCCAGTCTCAGGCTGACCCTGCGCTGGGTTCTGGCCCTCTCTGGGCCTCAGCTCTCCCCACCTGCCATATCAGCAGGCCGGACTAAGCTGGTCCACAAAGAACGACTCTTCCAGAAAGACCATTCTGTGTACGTCCTTACTGGTAGGTCCTGACTAATCAGGCTCATCCCCAAAGGGAGGTCATCAGTGGCAGGAAACAAGAACCTCGTTATCATGGACCAATTTAGCAATGAGCAAAGTAACACAGCGCTGGCATGCAATCCGCCCGGTCAGGAGCTCTGGACAATCCAAGATGGGCCGTGGCTCCACAGAGGACTTTGGCACATTGCAGGGCACTCAGAAGTACCAGTCCAGTATGGTGGGGAAGGGCCCTGTGGAAACGTGTGCTGACGTCGGCCTGAGATTGTACAGAAAATAAAATGGCTGACTCTTTGGGGGCCCCTCACCATCCCTGTACCAGGATAAGCCCAGCACGTCCTTTTATTACGTGTGTGATCATGAGCCAACCCCTGGGTCCGAGGCTTGGTCTTCCCATTAAGAGGGTCATAAAACTCTTGAGATGTTTTCTTCCTCCAATTCAAACACATTTCGAGAAATGTTTTATTCAGCTCCAAGACCAAGAAGGCCAAGGTGAATATAACAGCATATTTAAACAAGGAGCTATTTTAGGAATAATAAGAGCCAGATATTTCTTCCCTACCTGAGATGAAACTAGAAGGAAATATCTTGGAACTGAGCAGAAGAAATAAGAATTAGAAAGAACTCTGTGACCCTAGGACCATTAAGCTTGTGGAGCCTATTACACAGGAGATAGGAAAACACTCCTCTCCTGACGTTTTCTAAAACGGGGATGAGCGGTCTTTCTGCAAAGGTGGCCCAAACAGTGCAGCAAGAGTAGAGCAAAACTTCTAAAACCCGGCTGCATGGCTGCCAGAAAGGGCCGCTCCTTCTCCTCTGCATGCTCTGGGCCTTACACGTGCCATTCTGGGCTGCTAAGCCTGGCACCAGAATTGAGGGTTCAAGTCTTGTTCTCGATGCTCGTCTCTGCTCAAAGCGCACTCCCTGGGGAAGCAAAGGCACGCTGACAGGCCTCTAAAAAGAACAAGATGGCAGAGAGTCTAAAAAAGACACTGGGCAAAAGAGGAGGGGGAAGAGGACAGGTGGTGCAGGAGGAACGAGGTGGGAAACCAGGACATGGCATCCCTCGCTTCAGAAAGAACTACCCTTCCTATCTCCACCAAGACTGAGGACCAAGGCCCGTGGGTGGGCACAGCCCACGCACACCATAATATTCTCCCTCCATGCGATCTAAAACAGGTTTCCTGGTGTGTTTTTGGCTATGCAGAGAAAAAACAGAACATTCCGTGAGGAAGCTAGCTTGCCGAAGTTCGAGGATGTCACCCCAGCTTTCTTCAAGCCCCCTACTCTCCCAGAGCACGAGCGCCCAGGCAGGCGAGGGGGACGGGACAGAGCCAGGGTTCCCGCCTCCAGCCCCAGGCCCCACTTACGTAGATGAGCCCTGAGTAGTAGCGCTCCTTGAGGTTGTGCAACACGGAGGCTTCATTGAGGCAAGTGAGCTCTGCCATGTCCTCCACCTTGGAGAACTTGGGCGGGTTCATCTTCTGGATGTCATCCTTGTTCACCTTCACCTTCTTCCCGTTCTCCACCAGCTCCACGATAGCCTCCTCGCCCACCTCCTCCTTGAGGCTGGCGGGCTCGAAGCCACTCTTGTCGGAAGGCACCCATACCAGCTTCTTGGCAGCCCAGTCGGCCTGGGCCAGGGGGTTATTGATGAAGTTTTTATCCACATAGAGATACTTATCGGCAGCTTGCTGCGCCATGGCGATTCACAGCCAGGACCTACGGGAGAAACCAGGGCGAGAAGTGAGACACAACGACCTCAGAGGCGAAGGCCCACTGAACCCCTCTGACCTCAGCAAACAGTGCAGCAGTGGAGTAGAGCAAAACTTCTAAAACCCGGCTGCATGGCTGCCAGAATCTTCCCGCTCTCCATTTTGGGGGAAAAGATGTACATGACTGAAACAACAAGCTGTCATCAGAGATTGTCAGAAATTCACGGGAAGGTAGATCCTAGGATCCATCCACAATCAAACTAATCTATAAACTACCGTGGTGCCGGGGCGCCTGGGTGGCTCAGTCGTTAAGCGTCTGCCTT